AAGATTTCTCTCAAAACAGGGGCGGGGGGTGAGGTTCTAAGCCTCACCTCTGTTGATCCCCAATTTCTCACCTGATGGCCCCCCTGCGACTGTGCCTGTCTTAGGTTGTTCCTCCCTTGAGGAATCGTACCCGTATCTGACTAACCAGTCATCTTCCGGGGCCATACTGAATGAACCCATTTTTAAAAGCAGTTCTGAAAAGCTTGTTTTTCTTAGAGCAGTAAGGAGAGGAGAAGGGTAATGCTATTTTTTTCTATTTAAATTGATATGAAGGTAATTGTGGCTTGAATTAATTATATATACATCTATGCCTACATACACACATAAGCGCACACATTAGAATACAAACTTAAACCAAGAGCCACTAGTGAAACGAATAATGTTAACTTACCTGCATCCATATCAGCAGTCAAAATTTCAGTTTCTTCTATAATAAAACAAAAAGTCAAAAAGTTCCAATGTTTAAGGTTATATTTATAGTAAAAATTAAATCATTTAAATAATTTAAACTTTGATAACAATTTTCTGTCTTAAAACTTGTCCTCCCTTTAAAAAGGACAGTACAAATCCCCAGAGCAGATCGCCTTATTTCCTTTCTATACCCTGGAAATTGTGAAGGCTCAGGAAGAATTGTGTAGAAATTTTTCAGGCATAGATTGGAGGTGTCTGTTGGCACAAGTGAATGGTGCAAGCATGGTGCTGCAGCTTTCTGCATGTAGAGTAGGCAAAAACGCCCTGGGCAAAGATGGAAAGCTTCTTTTTCAACTCTGCTTCACAAAGTCTTTACATAAGGTAGGGAGCAGTCACTGACCAAAAGAGTCCTGAGCGCCCCTTAAAAAGGCTTCTCTCATTTTGTACATAGTAAGTTACGTCTTACAGGGGTCATATCAAGATATTTCATTAGTTTCACTGTTAAGCTTTGTTAATATTAGGCATCTAGGATGCAGAAGTCAAAAGCAAAATAATTCTCCCTTCTTCCTTAGAATTTTCCTTGAAGTTAGGGAATGACGCCAACTTCATTCTGCTGCCCTAGAATGTTCCAGAGGACAGGATCATGGTTTTTTTGACCTGGGGGTTCTGAAGGTAGATTCCCACAACATGCTGCTCTGTCTTGGATGAGGATGTGGCTATGGATGACATGGTCCAGAGTGACAGTGTTACTTTGCTGTAGCAATCATGTGTCTTGTCTCTGGACTTCCCAAGTTCTTTTTGGGAGAGATATAGATGTATCCACCTACCTAGGTTATTTTCTGGGGCAGAGAGAGACCCTACTCAGAAGCTTTCACAAAAGCACGGCCATGAGTCAAAGAGAAGACACAAATAGTTGTTAAGTCTTCAACAAAGGAAGGTGGGAGAAGTTCAGGGCAGCTGAGGTGTACTGGGTACCAGGAGAGCAGCATAAAGCTCCAAAAGCACAAACAAGATCAACAATGACTTTGATTACAGAAAGATTAAGAATTTCTATTCAACAAAGTGCACTATGGATAAAGCTAACAGATGGGTGACAAAAAGGAAGATGGTATTTGGCAATGCCTAACACTGAAACCAGATTAACATCCAGGATGCAAATCAGCAAGAAGCCTACAAACTCAGCATGAAATTAGGCAAAAGACATGAACTGGCTTAAGCATAGAAGAAAGAAATGAAGAGGAGCCTCAAAAAGCTAATATACATATGAAGAGAAACTCTAAAGCGTTGGTTATTACAAAAATTGAAATTAATAAATAATGCTGTAGAACCTGACATAATGAGACCAGCAAAATTAGAAAGTTGCAGAATACTTCATGTTGGTAGGGTTGAGGAGAATGCTTGGGCATTGCCAGCACAGGTGAGGACTGGTGTGCTCTGCCAAAGAACACACAGGCACTAATCAAGCTAACCAGACGCACAGATGTGTACTCCACAGCCAAGCGACTCCTTGCTCAGCGAGATGGCTCAGAGAAGTCCTCCTGCACATCATCACAGAGAAAAGAGTTACCAAAGTGTGGCTGTGGGCTGAGCGCCCATTACTGAGAGAGTAGAGGGTAAATGTGAAAGATGAATGCCTGCAGTGTCTTATTCAGCAGCTGGAAGCAGCAAGTTAGGTGAACACAAAGCAACACAGACAGATCTTTAAAATGTAATACTTTGTGAAAAGGAAAAAGGGAAATATGAGATCTGTGACATGATACTGTATGAATGCTTACATTTATGCTTACAAATAACACACATTGGACAAGAATGTATACAAGCAAAAAAGACATCCACGCTAACTCACATTAAGATGGTTGCCTATGGGGAAGGGGAGTAATATAGGGATAAAGGAGAGTAAATAAAACAAGAGAGGGGCCATGTTCTGACCAATGGCGGTCATGGACAATGAGCAGAGGACTATCATTAGTCCAAAACTAGGAAGGAAGGAAGGGAAAGAGGGAGGGACTACAGAGAAATAACTGAGATAAAGCATTTAGAATAGGAGTGATCTTGAGCATACAAAAGTCTGCAAGGCATCCTAAGAAATCCTGAGGGGGACCACAAAATTCTGGTAGTCATTTTATGTGAATACTAAAGGAAAGGCTGGCCCTGAAGAGCTGGAGGATTTGGGGACATCTGGCTTACAAAAGTAAATAAGAAAATACTGGTCATGAAAAGATGCTATCTTTTCTTGGTGGCAATTTCTTCAGAAGCTGCCTTGATAGTGAGGAAATAGTAAAGGAAGAGGAGAAAGGTACTCAGCAAAAGTGAAATGCGTAGGGAATGGTCCACTTTCAGTGATTTTTGGGTTAGCAGGCTGTAGATGGGGAGTATGGGAATGGAAGTTTATCACACTGTGAAATATGGCCTCTGTGCCTAAACTAACATTTAAACTGGGTTAGTGGTAACATGATCATATTATCTTCAGTTAATAATTACATTAAAATAGAAGATGATAGCAGTACTTATGTTTTATTTTAATTCTGAAACAGCCCAAGAGTTCAATAAAAATTTTACCTTGATTTGCACGTAAAAGGCCTGAAGAAAACAAAAACAAAAACAAAAATTTTACCACCACAAAGGACAATTTTTATTTGAGAAAAGTGTCCATGTCAATATGCTAAACATATATCAGAAAAACAAAATATCTTATTCTTGTTTTCAACTCTATAACATAAAATTTCTACTATAAAAATAGATTTACCTTCATTTTCAGGAGGTCCAGCTCCTAAAAACAAAACAAAAAGCTCACTGTAGCAGAGATACTTTTCACTTGAATAAAATATACACAAACCATTGCAACTTCAGAAATAGCATAACAACCTAAGTTAATATTTACAAAAAGTTAAAAGGGAACCACAGTATGCCATCTTAATTTGATTTTTAGTATCGCATGACAAATTTTCATCCTGCATTTAAACACATACCAATTTCACCACAGTAAGGAAATCATTTTAACTTGAGTTTTAAAAAGAAATTCATATCTTAGATATATTGAACACATACCCAATAGCAAGTGTACTATATACAGTTATACAAAATTTATAACTCTTTTTAATTATATTAATAAAAATTGGGCTTATAAAGGATAAATGAAATCATCATGTACTTCAAACCTCCCTTGGGTTAGTGATTCTGATCTGTCCACATAAAGAACACTCACTCTTTCTTAGAGGGGGAAAAATTAGAACCAGTGCTGCAATACAAAAAGGGGAGTTTACTCTGAAAGAGGGTGAACTGAAGTAACAAGGACAGTTGGCTAAATGTATTTTTGCTAACAATTTAAGAAATTGGTAAGAAAAGTAAGCTTTATGTTGCAGTTACTCCTGGGCAATGGGATATTTTTTCTGTTGAAAAATTGTGTTCTTTGATCTTAAACTTTAGAGTTTTAAATCAAGAGGAGAAGGAGAGAGGAGAAGAGAAAGAAGAGGAGGAGGGGAACGAAACCCAAAAAGTTATTACACTGAAGAAGTGAAATTAAGCTATTAACTTCAGAGAAAGACAAATATTGTTTACCTCACTCATATGTGGAATCTGAAAAAAAACTTCAGAAAAAGAGATCAGATTTGTGGTTACTAGAGGCAGGGGTTTGATGGTGGGAATTTGAGTGAAGGCAATCAAAAATACAAACTTCTAGTTATAACCGAAGTACGTACTGGGGATAGTAATATACAGCATGGTGACTAGTTAACACTGCTTTATGGTGTATTTGAAACTTGCTGAAAGAGTAAATCTTAAAATTCTCATCAAGAAGAAAATATAACTTTTGGTGACTATATGAGGTGACGGATGTTAACTACATTTACTGTGGTAATCATTTCTCAATATATGTATGTCAAGTCAGTACGCTGTATACCTTAAACTTATACAATGCTGTATGTCAGTTGTATCATAATTAAACTGTAGTGGGGGGGGGAATCTGTAAAGTTTCACTGGCAAAAGTCATAATTTACTGTCCTTCTCCCTGAAAAATCTTTTGAAAGTTATTTCCTCACTTTACTAAGGATTTAACTACATTTAATGAACATAAAAGTATTTTGCTCAACTGCTTATATTATATTCCCTTCAAAAGAAATTATATGATTTGAGATCCTTAAAAGCACTTGGCATACTAAATAATGCCAAATGATACAGGACCAGATCCTATAGCCCATGGAGTATATTGCTTTATTTCATTTATCTTTATTTCTCATGAAGTTTGAGCAATAATCACCTTTTTCTTTTTGTATAATTCATGATACAGAGCAATGACATTAATTATACTTTGTGTTCTGTAACATCATATCAAAGGCTTGAAATCACTCATAATGGGAGTATTTAAACCATAGAAATTAGCAAGAGCCACAGATCAGGGATACTCCTCCCTTTCCAAAGCCAATTTTAAACATTTGCGAGCACAACACTGGACAAATTCCATAAATGAGGCAGATGCAAGCACTCCCACTCCCCCCATAGACTTCCCCATCTTTGTTGAAAGCAGCTCCTTCCTTTCAATTCTTAGGGAAAGACCCTTTAAGTCACCCTCGGTTGCTCATTTCTTCTCACATCCCCATCCAATCTACCAATGAATCTTTTTGGCCCTAGCTTCAAAACATTTCCAGAATCTGACTGTTTCTCATCATTTCCACTCCTACCAACTTCTGCTAGTCACTATCGTCTCGTACCCAGATTACTGCAGTAGCTTCTTAATGGTCTCCCTGCCCTAGTATAGCCTATTCCCGCCCAGCAACCAGAATAAACTTAAATTGTAAGTCTGATCATGCCACTCTTCAGCTTAAAGTCCCCATTTCACTCACTAACAGGACTTGATCTGCCCTGATCCCCCACTCCAGCCACCTCTCCAACCCCTCCTACTGTTGGTCCTCTAATCTCTCATCACCACCACCTGTACACCTGCCACACTCACCCCGTGCTGCTTATTCCTCAAAGATATTGCAATTGTCTGCCTTAGGGACATTGCACGGTTGGCTGCCTGTCCAGAACACTGGCTCCATCATTTCTTTCAGCCATTTACCTAAAAGTAACATCCGTGAGTGAGCCTTCCCAGGCCACCTTATCTAAAAATTTCACAACTTATACTTCCAACATTTTATATCCTCTTCCCTTGCCTTATTTTTTTTCTTAGTACTAATTATTTTACTAGATATTTTACTTACTTCTCTTGTTTATTGTCTCTCTTTGTCCACTAGAATGTAAAATCTATGAAGGGGGAGGTATTTTTGAAATGTTATTTACTGTTGTAACCCCCGATTCTAGAACAGGGCCTGGCATACACAGTAAGAACTTAATAAATATGCATTGAGTACATTAATAAATATAATAAGTTTTTCCTCCAGAAAGCATTATTGATAGGAAAGAAATCAGTCTGTGCAGCACAGAATAGGTACCTAGTAAACATTTTTTTTCACCATTGGAGGTTTTTCAATAAGCACCAAAAAGCAAAGAGCACCAATTCATTGCTTTGAAACTTGATAAGTAAAGGGAAAGAATTGGACATTATTCTGCCTTTTTACTATGAACTTCATTTCATGCAAAGAAGATAGCTGATGAAGGAAAGTTCTTCTCTATAGAATACAGTTAATAAATGCAGAAGGAATGTTGAATTAGAAACCACTATTTTATAGTCCCTATTGACAAAGTAGTTATAGGCAAAGGCTACTAGAAACCAGTACACATGCTAGAAACCATTAAGGTGAAAGGCTCTGGGGGAATTTTTTATAGCAGAGATCAAGTCATCAGTCAGCATCACTAAAGAAGGGATAACCAGACACCATGACATTACATTTACTAGGAAGTACACAGCACCACCCATCAAGAATTCTTGTCCCAAATATTGAACTTCACATCTAATGAAATCTCTATAAATTCAGAATAAGGAACACCTTATAAGGTAAATGAGCCAGTTTCTCTAAAACAAACAAACAAACAAACAAACAAACACACACACACACAAACAAACAAACCAATGGCATGAAAAAAATTGGAGGTGGATAGGCGAGTAACTCTTAAATAGTAAAAGAGACTTTAAAACATTAATAATCATACACAATGTCAGATTCTCTTGGATCCTGATTCCAACACATTAATTCTAACAAGACATTTTTGAGATAGTTAGGAAATTTGAACATGGTTTCTTATTAAGCAGTGTTAGGGAATCATTAGTTTTAGGTGCACTAATGATAGGATAGTTGCAGATTTAAAGTGTTTTTATCACGAGATATGTATATGGGTGAAATAACACAGTATCTGAACTTTGCTTTAAAATAAACTAACAAACTGAACAAGACTGGCAAAATACTGATAATTGCTGAGGCTGAGAGATGGATACATATGGATTCATTCTAATAGTCTGTCTATTTCTGTTATGTGGGAACTTTTCTAATAAAAAGTTCTGAAATAAATAAATGAAAATACAGAGAGAGCATTCCACAGCTCTTCAAATGCCTACTCAGTGGTATTCTTACTGCTACACCTTCCTGTGACCACTTAAGATTATAATCTACCTAAAAAAGTTACAGAATCCCTGGATTGAATAATGAAAAAGAGTAATTACCTTTTAAATTATTTTCACAACCAATTTCATCTTCTCCTGTAATGCAGTCCACCTCACCGTTGCACTTATACTGGTTTGGAATGCAAACACCTGATTTGCAAAAGAAACTTTTGCCTTGGCATCCTACATAAACATAAATAGAAGTTTTTTTGTTTTTGTTTTATCACAGTTTTTAAAATTGAATGAGGCAGACTCTCAAATTCAATGTAAAGTTATTTTTACTTTTTTAGTCAGAAGAATGCATTTTGGGGATTTAAAGGCTAGATTTTATCTCTACCTTTACAGCACAGCTCGTCACTTTGGTCTCCACAATCATTGATACCATCACAGGCCTTCTTTTGAGGAATGTGTTTCCCATTCACACAATGAAAGGCATCATCATCTGTTGGAGCAACTGTAAAGTAGGAATTGTCTTTTTGAAATTTATTTTTGGAGTTACAGGCAACATCATTATCATGTTTTTGGAATAATGGGGACATTAAGATAAAGTCAGGCATCAAATAAAAATGATGTAATAAAATGTATTGGTAGCACAAAATAACATATATGGCTAATAAGGAAAATAAGTACCAATGCTGGTTTCTGGAGGCCCTTTCATTATCTCTGAAAACCGGTATTTACTGTGGGGGTCTCTATTTGCTGAGATTGAAGGAGGGGGCTCAGGAATCAGAAACCCTTGCTGATGCTGGCAAACACTGGTAACCCATCCATTCCTTTCATGCTACTACACTAATCCTCCCTCCACCCCAGGCCCAAGACTTCACTGTGCAGTGCCATTTGCATTTTTGTGGGACTTTTTTTTAAGTACCAAAAAGACATTGTGCATTAACACCATATATATGGATAACATATTCCAAGGTCAGGACGGAGAAGAAAAGTGGCAGTGACTACCTTGAAACGGAAGCATGGAGGTGGTTACTTAAACATTTTAAAGGAATATATATAGTCTGAACCTCTTAAAGGACATGTGGAGGTTTCTTCTGATGTTTGACTTGTATTTGTTATATTAAGTTTAATCCAGATGTTCATGGAAGCAAAAGGCAGCTTTACTTCCAAAATAGGAACATGGATAGAAGTAATATTTGAATGGAAAAAGTACAATAGGGGAAAAGTACCAATGTAGGCTCTAAAACCCCAAACATGATTTCTTCCTCTATGACTGGCAACTGGGTATCCATCATTTGTTTGTTTACTATAGACTTGGCATGAAATAAACAACCTTGAAGGAAGGGAAAATATCAGGTAAATACTCTACCAACCTGCATTTGGCGTGTAACATACCACACCAGCTAAACCCTGGTAACTGTGAGCTGGGGCACTGGTAAAAGTACATTCAGCTAAACTGGTCTCTAATCCTCGACAATGCACATTCAGACATTCAGTGGAATTCATACGGAGATCTCCAGGAATATTAAACTTTCCTTTAGTATGACGAGCACCCCTACAAATAGAATAAATGAAACATTAGGGTAGAATAAATAGTACTTCTCATTTAAACAACCTTATTATAGGAGGTAAGATACTAGAGCAATTTCCTCTTATTTTCTATATACAAATGACAGATTGGGCAAGATGCTTAAATTCTCTGAGCCTCAAATATCTTCACCCATAAAAGGAATTACAACTACCTCACTGAGTTTTATAAATATTAACAAAAATAATCCATTTAAACTAACTAGCTGAAACAAGGCAAGCACTCAACAAATATTGGTTTCCTCTTCTCTGTTTTTTGTTAAGGAGGAATGCTTCTCCACTACTGATGTTTTCTTCCAACCTGAGATGTGTCATTTCTGGCCTCTCTCCATCTCTTAATTTATCTTCTATCCAGGAAAGGAAATGTATTAATTTGATCAGGGAACTGTGGAAATATAAACCAGGCTGTCAGTCCAGCTCTTTCATCTTCTCCTGAAAGATGCATACCCCATGCTTTAGGCCTACCATGGTTGCTTAGTATTTGGGAAATTAAGTTGGTTTAATTCTAGCAGGTTCATTTTGCTTTCACACTAAGCTACATCCTCAATTCAGCCTTGACAGTATTAAAGTGATATTTTGGCATCTATATGCCATTGTTTGAGCTTCTCAACTTGTCCAGAGTTTGTATGGGTAGAGGGCTACCTCAATGACCCAATATCCTAGAGATGATGAGTTATGTATAGTGAACTATCTTCCAGGACATTCAGTTGCCCCCTGATTCTCTTTACAAGTAAGTGGAAGCAAGCAAACAAACAAAAAACTAAAAAAAGAAAAAAGGAAGTGGGAAAAATGGATTAAAAATAAAAAGTTGAGAAAAGATGCATCAGGCAAATAGAAACAAAAATAAAGCAGTAATGGCAATATAAATATCAGATAAATTAGAATGAAAGGCAAAAAGAGAACAATTAAAGGGAACAAGGAGGATATTTTTAATTATTTCAGAGACATGACAAGATATGGTAGTTATGAAAGTGTCCCAAACAGCATCAAAGTATGAGAGCAAATGAGAGCCATTTGGGGAAATCTAAGAGGTGAGTAACCTGAAAAATCTCTCAACCTGAAACTATCCAAAAGTAAAAGATAAAATATAATAAATACCCTCAATGAACTCTTAAGGAAACTGAGAGCTTATCCTGGCTGAATCAGAAAAGTCTGTCCATGAGCTTATGCAAAATAAGATAAGAACAAAATCCTGAGAGATCAAAGACTGAGAGTTTATCATTAGATTAACTTGTAGGTTGTAGGTCACAAACTGTCTAAAATCAGAAATACTCTGTGCCTCAACTAAATGATAAGAGACTCTCACTAATGAAATACTAGCAGATGTAGTCTAGGAAGAAGAAAACTAAATCTAGAATGAAGGAGTGAGATGCAAGAAGCAAGAACAAACCAAGACTCTGGTTAACATGCAGTTAATCTGAGTAAGCAATGACTGAATGAGAATAATAATTATTGCTCATTACATTATGATAGTAGCTGTCTTCAGGGATATAAAAAACAAAGTGGACCTAAATACTGGAAACTGGGATTATGACATTCTTTGTATTATTCCTGAAGAGAATGAAGACTTCCTAAGTCAAGGTCTCATAGCATAATGTAAAGATAACCACTAAAAAAATAGAAATAGAATGCATATAATTTCTAAATCAAGAGAGGAATAAAGGGGGGAAGATTAAAAAAACCTTATTAACATAATAGAAGTTGGAGGATTGGATTAAAGATGGTAGCATGAGAGGTAAGACAGGGACCTCCTCCTAAAACCACATATAATACAAAAATACAATTAATACAACTAATCCTCAAAGAGAAACAGGAAAGAAGGCTGCACTAGACTACATAGACCTGGAGAAAAGAGCAGACTTCACGGAACAGAGTAATGTGCCAAAGTTGTGACCCAGAGGGGCCTAAGCCCTTCCCCCACCCCAGCTCACTGGTGGGAGGAAGAGAAACAGAGTGGGGACAGAGTGGAGGCCTGGGACTGCTGAACACTTAGCCCTGGAGATCTTTTCTGGGAGCATGAACCTACACTGCATGGTGCTCTGGTGATTTAGTGTGGTTGGAAAGCTAAGACAGGCAGAATACCTGGAGAGACGGAGATTCCAGCTGCTTGTGGAAAACAGGGATTCATATTCAGCTGATCTGGGTGGGCAGTCTGAGAGACTTCCTAAAAGTGAGAGGGCTGCTAAAGGGGCAAGGATTGCACAGAGCTTACGGCTCAAGAGAAAGGAGAGGTAGTGTGTCCAGGTGCACTCTGCCCAGCAGGTTGGGAGCTTAAACGATATTCAGGTGCTCTATCCCCCTGGCTGGCTACACAGCTCCAAGTACCCCCACCATGATACACCTGCAGTGTCTTCCTCCCGGCTAGCCTGTACCTGGCTCAGGCTCACAAACCGGCAACCCCTGCTCTGGCATCAGGCCAGCCAGAGGGAAGCACTGCCTACAGCAACTACAAACGCAAAGCATAGAGGCTTACACCTGTGTGTTTGGCCCACTGGTTCTGGCAGTGGAGACAGGCATAGCAGCCGAGAAGCAAGAAACAGCTCTTTCCTCCCCCCAAGCACCAACACCACTCCCCTGAGACCCCTGACACTACTTCAGGGTATTAAAAGCAGTTTAGATACAGTGGAGGAGATGATAAATGAAATAGAAATTAGGGAAATGGAACACAAAGAAGCTGAGACATAGAGAAAAAAAAGGATCTCTAAGAATGAAAGAATACTGAGAGAACTGTGTGACCAATACAGACAGAACAATATTCATATTATAGGGGTATCAGAAGAAGAAGAGAGAAAAAGAGATAGAAAGTGTCTTTGAGGAAGTAATTGCTGAAAACTTCCCAAACCTGGGGAAGGAGATAGTCTCTCAGGCCATGGAAGTGCACAGATCTCCCAAAACAAGGTACCCAAGGAAGACAACACCAAAACATATAATAATTAAAATGGCAAAGATCAAGGATAAGGACAGACTATTAAAAGCTTCCAGAGAGAGAAATAAGATCACATACAAAGGAAAGCCCACCAGGCTGTCTTCAGACATCTCAGCAGAACCCTTACAGGCCAGAAGGGAGTGGCATGATATATTTAATGCAATAAAGCAGAAGGGTCTAGGACCAAGAATACTTTATCTGGTGAGATTATCATTTAAATTTGAAGGAGGGAGTAAACAATTTTCACATAAGCTAATGCTGAGAGAATTTAGTTCCCACAAACCACCTCTACACTGTATTGTGGAGGGACTGCTCTAGATGGAAGTGTTCCTAAGGTTAAATAGTTGTCACCAGAGGTAATAAAAAAGGATAGACAAAGATTACAGAATATGATACCTAATATACAAAGATTGGAGGAGGAAGAAAAGGAGGGGGAAAAAAAACCTTTAGATTGTGTTTGTAATAGCATACTAAGTGAGTTAAGATAGACTCTAAGATAGTAAGGAAGTTACATTTGAAGCTTTGCTAATCACAAATCTAAAGCCTGCAATGGCAATAAGTACACACCTATCGATAATCCCCTAAATGTAAATGGTCTGAATTCACCAATCAAAAGACATAGAGTCACTGAATGGATTAAAAAACAAGACCCATCTATATGCTGCCTACACGAGACTCACTTCAAACCAAAAGACATACACAGACTAAAAGTGAAGGGATGGAAAAAGATATTTCATGCAACTAATAGGGAGAAAAAAGCAGGTGTTGTAGTACTTGTATCAGACAAAATAGACTTCAAAACAAAGAAAGTCACAAGAGACAAAGAAAGACATTACATAATGATAAAGGGGTCAATCCAACAAGAGGATATAACCATTATAAATATCCATGCACCAACACAGGAGCACCTACTTATTGAAACAAATACTAACATAATTATAAGGGGAAATAGAAGGTAATGCATTCATTCTAGGAGACTTCAACTCTCCACTCACTCCAAAGATCAATCAGACAGAAAATAATTAAGGAGACAGAGGCATTGAACAATACATTAGAACAGATGGACCTAACAGACATCTACAGAACTCTACACCCAAAAGCAGCAGGATACACGTTCTTCTCAAGTGCACATGGAACATTTTCCAGAATAGACCACAAAAAGAGCTGCACTAAATTCAAAAAGATTGAAATTTTACCAACCAACTTCTCAGATCATAAGTGTATAAAACTGGGAATAAATTGTACAAAGAAAACAAAAAGGCTCACAAACATATGGAGGCTTAACAACATGCTTCTAAATAATCAAAAGATCAGTGACCAAATTAAAACAGAGATCAAGCAATATTTAGAGACAAATGAAAACAACAGCACAAAGCCCCAACTTCTGTGGGACACAGCAAAGGCAATTCTAAGAAGGAGATATATAGCAGTCCAGGCCTATTTAAAGAAGGAAGAACAATCCCAAATGAATAGTCTAATTTCACAACTATTGCAACTGGAAAAAGAAGAACAAATGAAGCCCAAAGTCAGCAGGAAGAGGGACATAATAAAGATCAGAGAAGAAATAAATAAAATTGAGAAGAATAAAACAATCGAAAAAATTAATGAAACCAAGAGCTGGTTCTTTGAGAAAATAAACAAAATAGATAAACCCCTAACCAGACTTATTAAGAAAAAAAAGAGGATCTACACACATAAACAGAATCAGAAATGAGAAACGTAAAATCATGACGAACACCACAGAAATACAAAGAATTATTAGAGAATACTGTGAAAATCTATATGCTAACAAGTTGGAAACCTAGAAGAAATGGACAACTTTCTACAAAAATACAACCTTCCAAGACTGACCAGGAAGAAACAGAAAATCTAAACAGGCCAATTACTAGCAATGAAATTGAATCAGTAATCAAAAAACTACCCAAGAACAAAACCCCCAGACCACATGGATTCCCCACTGAATTTTATCAGACACTTAGACAAGACATAATAGCCATTCTCCTTAAAGTTTTCCAAAAAATAGAAGAGGAGGGAATACTTTCAAACTCATTCTATGAAGCCAGCCTCTGTCCCTTTAATTATTTTCTGTCTGGTTGATCTGTCCTTTGGAGTGAGTGGAGTGTTGAAGTCTCCTAGAATGAATGCATTATATTTTATTTCCCCTTTCACATCCATTCACTCTAATACCAAAACCAGGCAAAGACACCACAAAAAATAAAACTACAGACAAATATCCCTGATGAACATAGATGCAAAAATACTCAACAAAATATTAGCAAACCGAATTAAAAAATACATCAAGAGGATCATACACCGTGGTCATGTTGGATTCATGTCAGGGATGCAAGGATAGTACAACATTCAAAAATCCATCAACATTATCCACCACATCAACAAAAAGAAGGACAAAAAACACATGATAATCTCCATAGATGCTGAAAAAGCATTCGACAAAATTCAACATCCATTCATGATAAAAACTCTCAACAAAATGGGTATAGAGGGCAAGTACGTCAACATAATAAAGGTCATATATGACAAACCCACAGCCAACATTATACTTAACAGTGAGAAGTTCAAAGCTTTTCCCCTAAGATCAGGAACAAGACAAGGATGCCCACTCTTCCCATGTTTATTCAGCATAGTACTGGAGGTCCTA